TTAGCTAAAGGTAAATACGTGTAAAACACTAATTTTTAACATATATTTATAATTTAATTTTTTTTCTTTAATAATTGGAGAAAAGAAATTTGAGCTGTAATATAAATGTTAATGTTTATGTAAATGTCATATAAATGTTTTCACCATTTTAAACTAATAAATTTTAAATAATAAAACAATTTGACTGATTTTTTTTAAATTTCGTATTTTGCAACTAAATAATAAAAATAGTTTCAACTCTAAATTAATAAGTTTGTGTACAACTTAAATTTAAATGGAAAAAAAGCAGTATTTTGAGGATTGATGCATGTAGTACTCAACCGTGTAAAATGATTACGATTTACACTTATAAATCAGAAGAAATAAATGTTAAAATAAATCAACGTTAATAAAAATTTTACAAAAATTTGAAACTTTAATTGTTAACCCTTTGACACAGATGGGACACCGCTGTTCTTTATATATATATATATATTTTTTCTAACTCTCTAATTACAGGCAAAAATATATTTTGGTATTTTTATTTATAAAAAACAGTTTGATAGCTGCTAATTTTTTTTCATTATCGGAGTCATATTCACACTAAAATAAAAAATTCAAAGAAAGTAGTTTAATTATTTTCTCTTATGTTTAAACATTTATAAATACTTAATTTTTTAAATTAAAGAAATTTCAATAAGGAATAACTGTTTCTCTTATATCTAAATCACTGCAAACAAGTACAAATTTGAAAAATTATTGTTTAGAAGAATTTACCTTTTGAAGCAGAAAAAGACACCAGTGTTTCATGCTGTATTTCATTACCATAAATTATTTAATGTACCTGAATTACTCAATTTGATCTAAATTAATACTAAATAATAAAAAAGTATGAAGAATATGTTTCATAAAAATTCAGCGTCAAAAAGGTTAAAGAGCGAAATTGGAAAATTTTGCTATTGGACAGTTGTAGCATTTTTAACAGAGGCCACTTTTTAAAAAGTTGAAATATTTGAACGACTAAAAAGCATTTAATATAATTAATATTAGATATTTCTTTTGAAGTATTTCTCAAATATGCTAAACATTACAAGAATGATTTTTGAAATGAGGAAAATTTTAAGAAACAAGTATGAAAAAAATTCAATTTTAGAATATTATGAAGTATTAATAATAGTTCCATATCTAGTTTTCGAATAAGAGAAATAAGTTTTCTAGCAGGATTTTGTTTTAGTAATTTTACAATTGGTTTCAAAATATCTAATAACATAAAATGTGACTCGGGCATAATGGGTTAAAAACACTTCACAGTTTGAGTCCGAAATAAACTGATTTTAATGATTTGAACTTTACTATTACTCTGGTCGACCACAATAGCGATTCGTTACTTTTAAAATTGTTTTGTAAAGTCATTTTTGATATATGTTCTTTTGAATTGTTTTACGACTCCTAATATGGAGGTTTTAATCACTGTATTTTTGAACGAAAAACTGTATATTATTGATGATGATTTAAATGTATATACCTGATTTTGATCCCCAATAATGGTTTGAAGCCCCGCCCCCCAGCTTGCCATCTTGTTTGAAAAGTAAAGGCGGCCAGTTCGCACTGCCAGCCGCCTTACTCTTTTCCCGGTAGTCAGGGTATTGTGGAACCTCTAGGAACCTTTTCTCCTCTGGCTAATTTTTTAAAGAATTAAGTGAAAAATCTAGAATTAGTGTGAATATTTCAATTTTAGTTTATTTCGATTTTGATCTCCAAAACAGAAATTAAAATCGAGTTTGCTTTTTTTTTAAACCTAAAATTGAAACTTAAATTAAAAATCGGTTTTTATTTTTATTCAAACTTAATACAACATAAAAACTTTGTCAATTAACTCTCAAAAAAGTAGTTCAAAACGCTTTGAAAGATCTATTAACATAGCAGATATTAAAACAAGTATGAATATTCAAATTTTAGCTTACTTTAGGTTTTGATTTTAAAATGATTAAAACCAAAAACGGATTTTTTTTTCGATCTTGATTTTGGTTTATTTTGGTTTCTGATTTATTCTGATACTTTTCACAGTTTGATGAATGAGTCTCATAAGTTGATTTTTTCTCATACTCTTTTTCTCATTCTTTTCTGTTAATTTCATCTTAAAGAATTAGACTAAAGCGCATTTTAAGATGAATTGCATCTATGACTGAAATCATACTATAAGAAGTAACGTCACAGTGAGATAATCATGAAGTTATCTCATCTTTTGTTCACTAACTTCGCAATTTCTTTTTAATTTTTACTTTTCAACACCTTCAATAGTAATACAAACGATCTTCTTTCAACATTTATTTGTTTTCCGATGTCCTTAAAAAGTTGAAACGCGTTTTTCTTTGATAAATACAAATAGGAATTATAAAAGAAAAAACGTTTCTTTAGCATTCTATTTCAAAACTCATTCATCTTTTTTATCTTTTTCGTTGACTCTATTATTACTCCAACTGGTATGCAGTGGCGTAGGGAGGGTGGGGTAGTCCACTCCAGGCTGCACTTTCTAAGGGGCGCCTAAATTATCAATAGAAACAACTTTTACAATTTTTCCAGAATAAAATTTTTTTTCATAATGTCTTAAAAAAATTATACGACTAGTAATATTTTTTCGGTACTCGCGATTACGCTTTAATTTCATATTTTGTAAACTAGCAACATATTTATGGAAATATATTAATCATTTATCGCAAGTTAATCGTAAGTACGTGATATCTTTTTCATTCCTTTATGCACTTTTATTTTTTATTATAAAATCTTTGTTTTTATTCTAAAGATAGACTGATTGTCACCTTTGTGCTGATAAGTGGTATTTGTATCAATCAATTGTAAAATATCTCATTGAAGGACCTGATTATTTCTGAATTATAATTCTTATCAAAAGTTGCTGTTTTTTCTGTCTTTTGTTAAACTGCATCTGAAATGTTTTCTTACTGCTAATTTTTTGAATTTATTTTTTTGTGAAGTTTTGGATACTTTTTTTAAATGGTTTGAATGTTTAATTTCTTATAAGTGAATAATGAGGAAAATTATCTGTTGTATTTATGACAATTTTTTGTTAACAGGAATAGTTTTTTTAATGGAAATTCATGAAATCATTTTTGTTAAAAATTGGTGATTCACAGAAAGAAACCACATCTAATTTTATTAAACTACATCTGAAATGTTTTCTTACTCCTAATATTTTAAATTTACTTTTACGTGAAGTTTTAGAAACTTCCTTATAAATGGTTTGAATGTTTAATTTCTTATAAGTGAGTAATAAGAAAAATTATCTGTTGTATTTATGACAATTTTTTGTCAAGAGGAATAGTTTTTTTAATTGAAATTCGTGAAATCGTTGTGTTAAAAATTGGTGATTCACAAAAAAAACTACATCTACTTTTATTAAACTGCATCGTTTTTAAGAAACTACTTTTATTAAACTACATCTGAAATGTTTTCTTACTGCTAATATTTTAAATTTATTTTTTCGTGAAGTTTTAGAAACTTTTTATAAATGGTTTGAATATTTAATTGCTTATGAGTGAGTAATGTGAGAAATCATCTGATATATTTAGAACAATTTTTTGTCAACAGAACTAGTTTTTGCTAATAGAAATTCCTGAAATCATTTTTATTAAAAATCGGTGATTCGCAAAAAAAAGTAACTGTTGAAGGTTGAAGAATTTGTTTATAGATATAGAATAATTTTATAATTGTTTTATGAATCAATCAATTATCTACAATTGAATTTTTTAAAACCAATATTTGGTAAACTGATTGATGATAATTCATAAAATAATTGATGACAACTGATAATTTTAACAGTTATGTTTAAAATATTGATTGTTGATGTGTGCTGAATTGTTAATATTTTAATTTTAATGATGGAAAAAAATCGAAATATTGCAACTTTTTGCTATTTATGAATTAAGATGCAAATTGTTGATGGATTACAAACGACAATTTTCATCAAAAAGAGATAGATTACTTAATTTTTATAGCATTTTACACGATAATATTTGCGTTTCACTATTTAAATCAAATCAAATTATTTTCAAACAATCATCATATTGTAAGAAGGATATTGAAAGGCAATATCGTAATAAGCAACAACAAGAGGAACTTTTTACATCAAATTGATCCTTAGTATTGTTTCCAAACCGGTTTCGCAAGGCTTCCGAATTACCATTAAAAGTATCACAATTCATAGAAATGTCTTATTTCTTACATGGAAATCGTGATATTTTTCACCCAAAACTATCTTAAAAATTCTGTTTAAAAATGTTTAAACATGGCTTATCATTATACTGCCCCAAGCCCTTCAATTATGTCAAATTCTAGATAGGTACTTTACAAGATTCAATTGCCAAAATCTAAATCTCTCTTTCCATCAGAGTAAAGAAAAGGTTTATTTTGTGCTTTATATGAGTACTAAACAAGATTAAAAAAAAAAATACAAATATTAATCCGTAATCAGATATACTATAGTTTTATTCAATACTGCCCCTCAGCCAATGACCTAGATTTCTGAGAACCATTTCATATTTTGAAAACATCCACCAGTTGATGACCTTCCTAGCATCTCATTTTCTCCAAACGTTTGAAAATCTATTTTCTTTTGATTTCAATGTCTTACAACATCTGCGGTGCTTACCTTACCCCCTCTCCCACCCCTGTTTCTCATAGTCATATTTTTTTTATTCTTTTGTTCAAACTAGTACTTTTTCTTTATTGTTCAACCTTTTTTTTTCTTTATTGTAACCGTTTTTTAATTTTTTCTACATCTCTGTGTTTCTCTCTTTCGTTACGTGTTTGGATACTGATGAATGTTCCTCGTCATGAAATTAAAGCTACCTCATTATACGGCACTGCAGTGCTTTTTTTTTTTCGTTGTTTAGTACTTTATTCATATACATCACAAAATAAATCCTTTATTCGCACGAATAGAGATGAGGTTGGATTTAGTTTGTAAAAGCATCTCAGATTATAGCGTGGCAACATAATATTCACATTTGAGAGTCAAATGAAATAATCTTGTCAAACATAAACAACATGTGCTACTGTCTTTTTCTATTTAGCGAAGAATATTTCATAACCTTAGTCGACTCTTCCTTTTCTTCTGAAATCGGAAATAAACATCCGGATTTATTTTTCTGTTCAGTTTGTTGTTGCGAGATCTGTTTCAATTCTGTCAAATGCAAATACACAGTTCAAAAATGTCTTCATTTTACATTGTCAGATAAAATACCAATTATCAAATCTAAGGAACCAAATGTAGGAACAAATACGTCTTTTTCAAGTAAGTTTCCTTTTGATACATTAAATCATCTTTTCCCAAATGTTTTTAAATCACCGCTCAATATTTAAGTAAAACAATGTCCTCTTACAAAATAATAATAATAATAATTAATAAATGAATAATATTTTATTCCCATTTAAAGTATTTTAATATTTTTGTTATTAATACACTCCTATGACCATGTACTTAGGTTATTAAAACAAGCCTAATGGCATATTTACTATAAATTTATTGATTATTAATAATTTATTAATTAATAATTTATTAATTAATAATTTATTAATTAATAATTTAATTATTAATGATTTATTAATTAGCAATTAATAATATAATGGTATTTTTATTGAAAACGTTTTGTTATACTAATTTTGTTGAAAATAACTGTCATGTAAAAAATTTTAACTTTGTTACGTAAAATTCAACTTATCACTTTGCAGTTCCCAATTGAATGATTAATTAACTATTATTTTTCTTATATATTATTAAAAATGGGAAATAATTTATTTCGCTTATGATTGTTATCAGATTGACTTTCAATCCGTTACCTGTGTATTCTAGTACAGCTAACACTAAGTTAAACATATTTAGAAGCACAGATCAAGCAAAAAAAGAAGAATTTCTAAAGATATGCATGTCAGCAAAAACAGCTCTTCATCGGGGGACACACTGTCTGTTAACACGCAGGAGCCTTTTTGGCTCCTGTGTGTTAACAGACAGTGTGTTCCTTGATGAAATACTATTTTTGCTAACATACACATCTTTAGAAATATTTTTTTATTGCTTGATCTGTGTTTCTAACTTTCTAAATAGTTTAAATAATTCAAATTTGGTTTAAGCACTTTTCCATTTTGACTTATCATTTTAAATGTTATTTCCTTAATTTACCTTTCTCTTAATTTGCTTAAATTAGTTTCATTAAGCCGTAATGGCCCATGAGGCAGAACGCTTGCCTCCCAATGAGGCGAACCGGGTTCGAATCCCACCGATGACTGGTCGATACGAATCCACACCCAGCTTGCACCGACCACAGTGCTGACGTGAAATATCCTCAGTGGTAGACAGATCATGGGTTAGAGTCCCCTTGCCGTCAGGCTAACCATGGCAGGTTTTCGTGGTCTTCCTCTCCATGTAACGCAAATACGGGTTAGTTTCATCAAAAGGTCCTCCGCGATGGCAAATTTCTCCCAATACTTGATCCAGGAGTTCCCTTGTCTTCTGTATTGGGTTCAAAATATAAGGCTACATAGTTGAACATAAGTAGTCGTAAACCCAAAATATTGGGTCGGCTGTTCAACGACGGTTATAAAATAAAAATAAAATTAGTTTCATTCTTTGATTGGATAAGTTAAGCACATTTTGTACTCAGAGAATTTTGTGTTATACGATAATCATATTAGAATATTATTTTTATAACATGATACACAATGGAGAAACTCATATTTTAAGCAAATAAATTAATTTAAAAATTAATTAAAAAAGTTCTTTAAAAATGAATTTTTTTTTAAATGCATGTTTATTTGAATTGAAGAATACATCAGGCCTTTAGGTGAAGTTTAGAGAAGCAGCAGAAACACAAAAGTTTTTAATTCATACAAAGAAACTCCTTTCAAAGTTAAAATCATATTGGTTGTTTTTTCTAATGACACTTGACAAGCTAAGCTTGATTTCGTTTGATAAGAGAGCACCACAAGGATAAGTCTCAGCTCAGAATCCCACGGATAGATGGCAGCACCACTCATTCATGAGGCCACTTCCTCAAATTAGACAGATCTGGAGGAAAAGGAAATTTTCTCCGACTCCACACGTTGTACGAGCACATATAACGCATGTACTCAGTGGGACAAGGATCGCACCCCGCTCTGAACAAGATGTAGTCCGATTCTCTAGAAGGGCTACGACTGCTGAAGTTAATACTTTATTGTCATAGCTAAAAAGCCACTTTTTCTTACAGCCACTTTAGTTATACTTAACTGATTTAATAACAAATATTATATGCTGAATTAAAAATTTAAATAATAAACGGTCTCTGAAATTCGGCGTTTATTTTTTTAATTCTCTCGCCAAACACAAATGTCGTTTTAAATTCGCCTAGATCTTAAAATATTTCAAAAGTGTTATTTATGCCAAATTATAAAAATTAAGCCGTGGTGGCTCAAGGGATAGAGGGTTCGCCTTCCAATGAGGTGAACCGGGTTCGAATCCAGCGATGGCTGGTCGATAGGAATTCCGCATCCGGCTTGCACCGACCACAGTGCTGACCTGAAATATCCTCAGTGGTAGACAGATCATGGGTTAGAGTTCCTTTGCCGTCAGGCTAACCGTTGGAGGTTCTTGTCGTCTTCCTCTCCGTGTAGCGCGAATGCGGATTAGTTCCATCAAAAAGTCCTCCATGAAGGCAAATTTCTCACAATACAGGAGTTCCCTTGTCTTCTGGATTGGATGCAGAATTACAAGACTACGAAGTTGAACATTAGTGGTCGTAAACTTAAAATTGGGTCCGCTGTTCAAGGACGGTAATAAAATAAAATGAAATCATAAAAATGGCCTGAATATCCAAAAAGATTTGCTGTTTGGTGTGCATTATGGTCTGGTGGTGTAGTAGGACAACATTTCTTAGAAAATTTTGCTAGCAATGCTATAACAGTAAATGGTGTTCGATATTGTGAGATGTCGTCAACTGGATTTTTTTTGTCCTGAACTGAATAATATTGATCTTGAACATATATGGTTTGAACAAAATAGTGCATTACCTCATTTTGCTAAATGAAAAAATTGCTTTATTGAGATAAAATTTCCCAGAAGAATTATTGCAAGAAATAGCGATGTTTACTTGACCACCAAGATTAAGTGACCTAACACCGTTGAACTATTTTATTTGGGGTTATGCGAATTGCCCCCCCCTCCCCCAATGTTTATTGAAACAATACAGAATCATTTCCAGAAATAAGGATGAAACTATTTGAGTCAACTGGGAGATACAGACACAATTATGTTAAAAAGTCATCAAAAAGTTTAACAAAAGGTGGAGGCCTGTAGAACAACAAGAAGTAGTAATGTGTCAGATATTATTTTTTGTACGTAAAAGGCCCTTTACTTCAATATCAAGCTAAAGAAGTTGTGAATTTTAATGTGCATTCATCACTAATTTCATGCACAGGGGGAAAAAAATTCTGATAAAATTAACGTTCAGTATGGTAATAACATTTCTAATAAAAAAAAATTTAAAAAAAACAATAATTTTGGGTAATAAAACCAAAATAAATGGTATTTAATCCTTCCATTTGGTAATTTTTCCGTTTATATAGTAACATTTCACCGGGAATTCTGGTTCTCCAAATTATAGCTCTTACTACACATTTTGTAAAAAAATAAAAACTGAAAAGTAATTAACGAAAGAAATGGTTTCTATGCTATGCTCTAGAGCAGGGGTTTCCAACTTACCTGAGGTCGGGGGCCACAATTAAAAACACAAATCAAATGGCGGGCCGCAACTTTGTCAAAATTTTATGTAGGACTCTTTTTATGTTACGTTAAGGAACGTTAAATATTACTGTCAGATTTTTACCAAGTTGTACAAAACAAAAGTACTGAATACAAATTAAAATAAGAAGGAGATTTTTAAAAATATTTAATTGTTATTAATAATATTTTTAAAAATATTAAATAAATAATAAAAATTCGGGCTACAATAACTTTAATGTGCACCTATGTATTGAACAATTAATGTGCAACAGACATCTAACTGTTAAGATATAAAACTTTAAAAAGGTTGGTATTAAAACTTACATAGTAGCACACAAAACGTTCAATGAGAAAATTGAGGTTTGTTTGCAGCAACCACCAGAGAATAGATATTTACATTTAAAATTTACAAATGTGTATGTAAATATTTCCTTCCTAAATGAGTAGTTTCAAAAAGTTAAATCGGAGAATTTCTTCGAGAAAATTTCTGATACGCACATGCTTAATTATATTCACAAAATACAAAAAAAAACGAAATATAAAAGAGCAACATACACAATTAATCTTGTATTTGAATAAATATTTTCTTAGATGCAAAACCTGAGAAAAAAATTTTTTGCACCGTTGGTATGATAAATTTCACAGAAACGAAGAAATTAGATTTTTATTAATGAGAAAAGTATTTTAAACCCATAAAGATTTTTAACGAAAATTGTTCGCAAAAAATGACAACTAACATACTTTAGTTCGCGGGCCACGAAAAAAAGGCTCCGCTAGCCGGATGCGGCCCCCGAACCGGCAGTTGGACACCCCTGCTCTAGAGTATCATGATAAAACTTCCAAATTTTACAGCAATTACCACATTTTTCTGCCTATTATAAAGCCATATTTTATTGTTAATTTTACCAAAGTGCTTCGGTAAAAATTTCCGAGCTTTTAAGTGTTCCCGTAGAGCCAGAAATACGGTAAATTTTACCGTATTCAGGTAATTATGACCATATATTTTTTTCTCAGAGGGTATAATTCGTTAACGACCCTCTACAAATCCTTAATACCCCTTACGAACCTAAAAATTTTGCTAGCGCTTACACTAAATATAAGAAATTCATTGGTTTCGAAATTTGATATTTCGCTATTTCTCAATTAGCTATTTCTCAAAAAACATTGGCGTGTATTTTATAAATAATTTCTAAATACCCTTCAGATAGTGTAAAATCAAACAATATTTTTAAAATAAGTTATTAATGATACACTAGCACAATTGTTCCCAAATGATGCTCCGTGGAACCCTGGGGTTCCGCGGAAGACTCTCAGGTTTACCGAGATAAAGTTCTTAAACCGGTAATGATTTTTGAAGCCTGTCATTTTGTTTATATCCAAACATTAAACCTATTTTATTATATCAACAAAAAAAAATTTTTTTTTGTCAGTATATTTGTCAGACAGCTACTAATTTTGTGTGTGTGTGTTTACTGACTTGGGATTCCGTCAAAAAGATAATAATAACAGACAGAATATATTTAAGCAGAATATATATTTTATTGTTTGCTGAACTAAAGTAAATCGCAGAAATGTGCATTATTAATTTTTATTAATAACAATGCTAATAACTTAATTATATGTATTTGTTTTACTATGTAGCTCACCAAGATGTACATTATTAATTTGGATTAACACTAACAATGAATTTCTTTAATTTATATTTGTTTTTAGGCAACAGATTAAATGCTGCTATCAATACAAATATGGCAGGCACAACTGATGTAAGTTTTCTTACTTATTACAAGCTTACAAAGTTATTATTATTTAAATTGATAATTATCATACTTAATACATTCTTTAAAATGTGTGGTTTTTTATCTACAATAACAGAATACAGTAGAATAAATCATGGGCTATTCTAACTACATTAAATATATATATATATCTGTGTGTGCGTGTGCGTGTGTGTGTGTGTGTGCGTGTGTGTGTGTGTGTGCGTGCGTGCGTGCGTGTGTGCATTGAACTTTGAAAATAAAATTTAGATGTTTCGCTTAAATATGATATACGAAAGTGCAAAAAAAGTGAACACCTCGAACAACTTTTGATCTAATGATCGGATTTTCATAATATGAAAAATAGAGTTCCAATAGTATAAGCCCTTAAGCTTATCCCCTTAATGTTCCTTAATGTATTAAAGTTCGGACGCTTTAATCCTAATTTTAACATTTGAATACTTCACTATATCCACTCGAGTTTCGATATATAATTCTGATATATATGTTTCCACTATTGATATATTTCACTATATATCTCGAAATCTTTATAAGCAAATGAAAGCATTTTTTGCATGCATTTATTGAATTTGTTTATCCTAAGATAAGTTCCATGTAAAAAATAATTTTTAATAATTATTTATTAATTTTTAGTATTTTATTTAACAATAGCACAAAAATGATACAAATTTTCACATAATTTAAAAATTTGTAATTTGAAATAACAAGATACAAAATACGAAGGAAATCGATTGTATAATTTTGGAGAAATCAAATTTTGAGGATGTCAAATATTTAAAATTTAATTTTTCAATTATTAAACCGATTTCATTCAAACTTCATATTTTTCAGTTTAAAATTAAATTCTTTAAAATGGTGTAAAGGTTCAAATACCTCAAATAAGGTTGAATGAAATAAAAGTAAATAATAATTAAAAATTATTTTTTGCATGGAATTGTCTTATAAACGAATTTTATATTTATGTGAAAAAAATTTTTGATTTTCGTAAAAAGTACTCGAGGCATGGCGAAATACGTAAGAAGTCAAATTAACTTCAAGGGATCCTGACTTCCGACTATTCTTCTGACCAAACAATCGGGACCGTATTTTTCCAGATTGTTACTACACGCTCCATATTTTGAGAGTCATGAATCTGAATCCGTCGAATAAATGTAGTATATGTGTTTCATTCCAGTGGAAAAAATCATTCTCCAAAACATAATTTTATTCACCAGATTTACGATTTTATTGCATTTGGCAAGGCGGCGAATGCTTAGTGCGGCTCCTGTTATTAACATGCTGTACATGCCATCGATTTTGTATTTGCCGTCAATGTTGAATTAAAGACCTTATACGTTTTACAATAATGATCAATTAGTATTATATCTGTTATACATTTTACAATAATGATCAATTAGTATTATATCTGTTATACGTATTACAATAATGATCAATTAGTATTATATCTGTTATACATTTTACAATAATGATCAATTAGCATTATATCTGTCATACATTTTACAATAATGATTAATTAGTATTATATCTGTTATACATTTTACAATAATGATCAATTAGTATTATATCTGTTATAAAACTATGAATAAATTTCTTTGTTGTAGTGTGTCGCGATCCATAATGCAGTCTCAAAGTGTGAATTTTACTTAAACACTAAATCATGTAAAACTGATGGACTCTTGGATTATATGTTTTTTATTTATTGTTATATACCTCCTCAATATACATATTTTGCCATCGCACTTTGCGTAAGTATTTTATTTTTAATTTTTCTTATTTTATTTTCCATATCTATACGAGCTCTGCAAGGTTCAAAAATTTCAAAAAGTTTCCCAGAAAGCATGTAACCTTAAGTTGGCAACCTTGTGTTGGCAACCTGTTTATTGTCAGGAAAATGCTTGTACTAAAAATATTTTTTGAATAAAGCGAAAATATTGCAGCTTCAAACCTTTCATCCTAAAAGGATTAAAAATTATTTTTTAAAGCTTTCTTTTAATAAGTATTGTCACTTGGGTAAAATGGTCACTTAGGTCCATAATGACGTTTTAGCTGACGTCACACTAGCGATAGGATCAAATTGCATTAAAATTTCAAGACAGGGTGGATTTTAGCTGAGCATACAAGACTTACCGAAAAGAAACCTTATAATTACCTAGATTTAAGATTATTTTCACCATGAGACTAGCTATATTAAAGGATTTTTTCACCCTTGAAAACCCTAAGTCAACCTCGATTTAAGGTTTTTATATAGAAGATTGCTTACCAAGGTTTTGGATTAGGGTAATGTGCGTAGAATAGAGCAAATTGCCACAGATCTCGTTTTAAGGTTAGAAGGTTTACACGGAAAACCGCATTAAAAGCATTTTTAGGTTTACATTAAAAGGTTTTTGCTGAGTGAAAATAAAACTTATTTTGCTATCTGGGATTAGTTCTACTATAAAAATCCAATTATTTAATTATTATATTAATCTAATTATTGCCCATCATGATCTTTAAATCTCGTTTCTTGTCATTTTGGTTGAAGTTTTTATATAGAAGGTCTTTCTCCAAGGTATTGGATTAGGTAGAATAGAGCAGATTGTCACAGACCTCGTTTTAAGGTTTCAAGGTTTACACGTAAACCTCATAACAAACCTTTTCAGGTTTACATTAAAAGGCTTTTGCCGAGTTAAAATAAACCTTATTTTGCTATCTGGGTTTACATGATTTGGTGGGCATATTAGCATTTAAGATACGCGTCCGAAGGAAACTTCTACGCTCCCTAAGCCTTTTTTTGAATGCATATTAATGAAAATACAGTATACTTTCGATATCTCAAAGTTGAAGGAATGCTAAAAAGATTTCGAGATAGCGAGTTAACGAGATAACAAGTTCAGAGCTAAATATGTTCTAAAAAGTCGAAAAATATGCTCGAAAATATTACCCTAAAAAGTAAAGTCATAAAACATAAGAATAACTACCATTAAATATGTATGTAATGATAGTTGACAATAAATCTAAATACAACAATGATAATTTCATTTTTAAAAGTAAGACTAAACTATGCATTAAATAAAAAAGAATTAGTTTACAATAAACTAACATTGCGATTTTTCTGAAAAAATTCCATTTCTATTTCGAAAAAAAAATCGGCATAACAAGGTTTTGAGAAGAAGCTCTTCGACATAGGAATTCAAATTAACATTATGTGGATATATAATACCAGGGAGAAAAGTATTGTTTTGACATAACATGGTTTTGGAGTTATCGAAGTTTGAGATGACGAGAGTGTACTGTACATGAACGAAAATAAATTAATATGACCATAATTAACAGTCAAGAAATGATATTAACAACATTATATCTAAGTCAAAACTTTTATTTCAAGTATAGATCGTATGTATTAAGTATAAGTAACAAAGAAGAATTAGGTATTACTGACAAAAAAGTTTTTTTTGTACGAAAAAGCATTGAAGTAAATGAAGATTATTATTCTGTACAAAATATTACTTTCAGTATTATTGTAGTATATATTAGTAGTATATATATGTAGTAAATATTATAGCATGCTCTGCAACGTATTATTTTAAAACTAATAAAAACGATGTCGTTCGTAATATACATAGGAATATTAACTTTTATATTAATTCTTTTCGTAAGCCGAGCGATTGAGGTAATTTTTTATAATTTAAATAAGCATGACAAGAGGAATAAAAAAAATTAGCTGACTTCGTTTCATAAAATCTTACTCTATTTCACTACCGGCTTTACATCTGACCCAATTTTGGATTTACGACTATCAATTTTCAATTTTATATCCTAGGATCCTCCGTATTTCCTAAACTCGATCCTGAAGACAAGGGAACTCCTGGATAAATGCTTGAAACAAACTAACCTTCGTGGAAGACTTTTTGATGGAAATAAACTGTATTTACGTTACATGGAGAGAAAAAATCTCTTAAGTCTCCCACGGTTAGCCCGATGGCATGGAGACTCTAAACCACGATCCGTCTACCACTGAGGATACATATCATCATTGAGGTAGGCAAGAGACGGAATACAACCAGTCATCTCTGAGATTCTAATCTGGCTTACCTCATTGGGTTGTTCTATCTCCTGAGCCACAACGGCTCTCTAGAATCTTATTTATAGCATTAATTTCAATAATGTTTCGGCATTATCAAAAAAAATTGATTTTTTTTTTCTTTCTCGTTCTTGAGTGTTGTTTATACACCACATCCAGCATCTTCGTCAAAATTTTGTCGAAATCAAGAAACGCATTTTTTCGGTATTTCTGATTAAATATTTCTATGCCTTGTCGGATAGAAAAGGTGAAAAAGACAATATAATTTTTGAAACTTGATTCGAATAATTATTTATTTATTACGTATAAGCATTGTAGCCTATAATTTTCATATTGATCTTTATACAAAGCTTAAGAAAATAAAACATAATAATTCTTGAGGGTTTTTATAAATTTCAGATTCTGTTTCTTCTTTTACTTTTCATTGGACTGGGCGTGACGGCTGATGATTTGTAAGTATTTTTAAAATTTAGAATTCAAATGCTTTCTCATATTTTTATTGCGATATCGTGCGTTTTAAATTCTTTCATTCTTCCGAAAATATTGTTAGAAATTTCATCGTTTCAATAAAGAATTTTTCGACAATAGAAATTGTTACGTAAATTGCAATATAAAGGTACATTTTACATATATTCAACATCAGGGACTTTAAATTATAGTATATGTATCTGCAATGATACATTCTGGTGAGTGTAATTTTTAAAACAGATGATTTAAGGGCACTTCTCAACAATAATACGTATTAATAATAATGAAAATAAAAAACAGTAACGTTAACAGCAACTTATTTTGAATTGCATTGATATTTATGTTATAAGCACTAAATATTACTGATATTATTCATTTCTATATTAATAAAATTAGCACTATAATAAAATTTTCATTGAATTTTAAGGCTTCAGATTATTTTTGAAAAAATAAATTTACTGAAAAAACTATCGGCGTTTTGTACGTTGCATGACTTAAACAATCTTATATTGCACGTGTAAAATAATAGCAGTTAGTTTCAGAAATATTTCAGAAAACCGTAAGAAAATACCTAAATATGTTTGAAAAACTATTTTAAAGATGGATATTTAAAGTACTAACTTTAATCTATTTTCTCTTAAACAAAAATTGTGGTCTTATACTTTACTTTTTTGAACATGCATGAAAACGCTAAATAGATTTTTTTTTTAAATCTTTAACAGTAAATCGTAAAAAAAATATAACTTATCGATAGCTGTCATTTTTTAAGAGTATTATCACATGTTTAAACTTTATACCCCGGATGAAGCGTTCGTTGCATGACTGGACAGGAGGAGCTCCTACTGCTCTTAGCAACGTACTCTTCTCAGTAACGTTTTCATACATAGCTCATGCCCTTAAGGGTGAATGAAGGCTAATCATCCTTAAGGAAATGATCAATTGCCTTGTACACACTTGTCCAATATTCCATGCGCTAATGTTTTTTAAGGTTAAGGTACATTGTCCGATATTCTCTATACTATTATTAATTAAGGTTAAAGGGCATTGACCAGCATATACTTGAATGGTATACACTACACTAATGTTTTCCTTGTGGTAATGAGCGATTGCCTTGTACACACTTGTCCGGTATTCCATGCGTTAATGTTTTTTAAGGTTAAGGTACATTGTCCGGTATTTTCAATACTATTATTAATTAAGGTTAAAGGGCATTGACCAGCATATACTTGAATGGTATACACTACACTAATGTTTTCCTTGCGGTAATGAGCGATTGCCTTGTACGCACTTGTCCGGTATTCCATGCACTAATGTTTTTTAAGGTTAAGGTACATTGTCCGGTATTCCCTATACTATTATTAATTAAGGTTAAAGGGCATTGACCAGCATATATTTGAATGGTATACACTACACTAATGTTTTCCTTGAGGTAATGAGCAATTGCCTTGTACACACTTGTCCGGTATTCCATGCACTAATGTTTTTAAGGTTAAGGTACATTGCCCTATATTTCCTATACTATTCTTAATTAAGGTTAAGAGGCATTGACCAGCATATGCTTGAATAGTATTTAATATACTGATGTTTACTCTAAGGTAATTGGTGATTGCTTTGTACACACTTGTCAATTGTTCCCAACGCTAATGTTTTTCAGGTTATGTAAATGTATTCAGTTCTTATGTTAATGGTTCAGGTTTTCAGGCTAACAGGTTTTCAGGCTTTTAATGTGCTCTATGGTCTCAACGATTTTTTAGTCCGGGCAACTTTCCTCTTTGACGAAGATTCTATTTTGGTGCTTGTTTAGGGCACCGCGTGTTATTATAATTCGATTGAGGTAAAAGTTTGAAAAAAATTTCTTTGGGCTAAATCTTCTAAGGAATAATATAATTAACTTCCCAGTGTCCGTCCAGGAGCATCTCTCTTACCAGGTATTCTTTGATCTCTTAGTCAGCGAAATTTTAAAGTTGTTTCTCGATTATGGTGTGGTAATCGAAATGGTTGGCTTTGACGTTGCTTCATTCACCATTGCTTCGTTCTTTCATTACCTTTGATTCCTGTGTACTCACTTGTTCAGTGAAGACAAGTTCTAGTGTTGGCCTTAGTTTAAATATCTGCAACGAAGCGATTTTGATGCTTTGAATTTTCCAGTGCCGCAAGTGAACTTATAGAGTCATTTTAAAGGTGATAATGTTCTTTATCGTTTTTACCATTAAACCAATCAACCGCTATCTTGATATCCCTGAGTTCAGCCTGGAAAACGGTGTTAAGACAAAGTCTTCCGATTTCATGATGTATCTCAATTTTGTCACTGAAAACGACGAAGCCCCAATCCACTCTATCTGATTCATTATCAGTGATTCGACTTTCGCTCGGTGCTCTCGAGTTCGATTAAATAATTTCTGCCTTTTATGCCAAATTCTCTTTTTCCACCGGATAAATAGATTCTGGTTCATTAGTCAATGATATGATCTCCAAAAAGCATTCATTCAAGTTAAAGATCCTTTCTGCACTATGTTCAGCTTTTAGATCGAGAAATAGAGTGCCCGCAAGCAATTGGTGTCATTCAGGAGAAACAGTTTTATATGCTCTAGTACTGCTGATAAGTAGCTATCTCTGTATAAAATTGATGGGCATTTCGTTGTTTTGCATGTCCGGTGAACCATATACAAACTCAATATCCTCTCCGTGTCGGTCAGTTAGATCTCCTTCAATAATTCATTATTACGTCCCCAGGTGTTACTAGCTATGTATTTCAATTCTAAGTAATAATTAAAAATTCAATCAAGACATTATTACAAACGTGCGAAAAAGCATTACAAACGTGCGAAAAAGCATTACAAACGTGTAAAAAATGCGGGTTAACAATATGTCACATTTAACAAACAATTTTATACATCAAAAATATTGAATAATTATTCAGAAACACTGAAAAGTTATAAAATAAAAATATATTTTATCTCCTGTTATTTTTAAAGTGTTTTGTAAACATTTTGGTGAGGAAATAGATTAAAAAACATTTTTTTTTTATTATTTAGCAATGGATAAACTGTTTTAAAAGCTGTCAATGTATGAAATACTTTGTATTTGGAACAGTTGAATAAATAAAGTGCCTCAACAGCCATATATTTAATTTCACAGAATATCTTCTATTGTAAATATAGTTCACAAGCGATAAATAACTATATCATTTTACTTTTTTATGCGTTCAATCATTTTATTCGATCAAAATCGTCAAAACAAAATTGAAATTAGAGGTATTACGAAAAGGGAAACTTATCGTTATTTTCATGTTCATAAATAGTTATTTTTATGACATAATGGTTATTTTAATGCCATGTTCATAAATAGTTACTGTCATGTTATATTTACCCAGAAATATGACCAATTACAAATTGTTTTTTATTTATTTATTTAATTATTTTAATACTAAAGCAGTCCAATTTAGTATAATTTTTCTCTTCAAAATGAAAATTTTATGCTTTATCTTTTGTTAAGTACAATTTTTTATGATTTGACTATTCTTGTTTTTGTTTTTTGCTTTTTTAAATTCAAGTTCTGTAATTTCAAAAAATTGGTTCAACAATAATATCATCCAAATTTACTGTAACCTTAATAAAGTATGTAAATTGTTATATTATGTAAGTTGAACTATCTAAAAGCAGCAAAAAAGATGAACTATCATGGTAACGTAATTCAACTTAGCACCTTATAAAACGTGAAGTAAATTCGCAAGATATTAGGATTCCAATAGCTCCAAAAAAAATTTCTCGTTTTAGTCATATGATTACAACTATTCTGCTTACATAAATAACAAACTTTTTTTTTCAGTTTATGCCCGTCACTTGTTGTTATCACCAAGACATTACATCTATCACAAAACATCGCTGTATCCTTTTGATTTTTTTGGTTATATCACTGAAATATCATTAATAGAAAATTACAAATGAGCATATAAACAATTATTAAAAATAAAATTATGAATTATTAAATTTTATGCTAATGCTATTTTACAGTTGATTTTAGCTTTTCATCTAACAATATTTTTGCTTTATTTACTATGTAATTAATGAGTTTATTAAGGGGGTCACTTTAAGCCGCAGAATCCCAATGCCCATAATGAAAAAAAGTGTTGCTTTTTAGAAACGTGCTTTAAAAAAATTGAGTAATAAGCATGCACTTCTCATTAATTGAGCTTTTTTTACTAAATATTATTGATTAGAATATTTTTAGAAAATATTTATTAGGTATCATACGACGATTTTTGTAAAAATACTAAAAAAGCATCACGAGATTGTTATTAAATTTATTTAATAAATATTTAGATAAAATCGGTCCTCAAATTAATGTAAATATTATAAGGATTATGTGCATCAAAAATCAGGTTTACAGGAGCAGTAGCTACAAAGAAATGTTCCTTTTGTTTTGTAATTTGCAGTTCTGATAAAAAGACCCAAAAAGGAACAGGTAGCAATGTTAAGGGGTAGCACAACGAGCTTTCTGAAAAGCATAAAAATATTTCTATCACAAGAAAGAAAAAAAACTGAAATTGTCTCAAAAGGTTTTTATTTTTATTATAAAGTTGAAATAAAATTTACCTAATTGAATATGTAATTAATGATCTGAACATGTAAAGTAACTCATTTAAATTTACAAATTTCAAAAAGGGCTTGTCTTAGAAAGTTTTCAAACTGTAAAAAGATTTCGGGTATATTCCTTGAAGATAATGGACAGCCAATTTGTCCAATTTATACCATTAACATTTCTTAAGCAAAACAAGGGAAACGTTTTTAACAATCTGGTAAGCTTCCCTATTAAAGTCAGTAACCTCAGAGGAGCGTATATACGCTCATCAATTCATACTTGTTTAACAAAATTGATTTATAATGATTTCAATCTCCATGACGAAAAAAAATTTAAATAAATATATAAAAGTTCTAAATATATTCCTTAAAAATATTAAGGTTTGCATAGTTAAAATAATTCATGGTTATATAGAATTGTTTTACCACTACTATTAGGGGGACCGGAAAGTAACGTCGTTACGGCGTAAATTCGCTAGTCTTTAAAACCAATACATTTTTTTTCTATCCTTTTCGATTCATTTTCCATCCCGCATTGAAAGGTTGTTGCTGACGAGGGTGAATACATTCTTGGATGAAAATAAAATCTTCATAACAAATATCAAGTGCACCGAATCGACATTACTTTCCGGTTTCTTTAATACTATAACGAATCTGAGCAAGAAAATGTAAAATGCAGGTGGTGTGGTGTCAGAGTTGGGAATCGATCCTGAGATCGGCCAATCGCATGAATGACAATTTAGTTATTTTTTGACTAATTTATGTACCCAGCTTCAAAGAGTTAAGCGGCTTCATAAAACTTCACCACAGAATTTAGAATAGTAATTAAATAAAAATACCGTGATAACTAGGGTTATTTTGGTGTCTATAAATATATTATGAAATTTAAATAATCGTATGTACAGAGGTGTTGCCACGCGATGAAAAATCACTGAATGCCCTAAGCTTTTCAGAATGTTTTTTTTTTTTTTTCAGGAGAAATGAAAATTCGGAACATAATTCGAAATAATGCGTAACGTAGCGGAATTTTCTGAGCTGACAGTACACGGAATGAACTATAAATGAACAATCTATTTATAAGTTATGAAAAAATTAAAGGTGATAATTTATCGTAACAATTTTCTGATATGCGTTCTTTTTTAAATTCATCCAAGGCTTTTGACAATTTTTATTAGTTGTTGTCAGCCATTAAAGCACAGAGGATGCGATTCTTCTTGTTTTCCAGTGGCGCCATCTATTGCAAAGAATTCAACTTCTGCCATACTCTACGCCCCACCCGTTTATTGGGAGGACCCATTCATACATCCATTCATTCGCTGTATTGATACTCGGTCATAAAATGTTTGTCTTCTATATGCGATTTTGAAAAAAAGCAATATATACAATTTGAAAACTAAGCCCTTTTCGAAATTTGCTATTCTTTTAAACATTATTTAATTTTTTCATGTTTTTTTTCCTTCTAAATACGCAAGGTTTTCCTTCTAAATACGCAAGGTGTATGGGGCAGATTTCAATTTCAATGTTTGTCTTTGCCTCATGAGAAAGATGATCTCCGAAGCAAGAAAAAAGGTTCCACCGGCTTCTATCACTAAATAAGCACCGCTTGAGTCGTGGTGGCTCAGGGGATAGAGCACTCTTATTTCAATGAGGTGAACCGGTTTCGAATCCCAGCAATGCCTGGTCGATTCGATTTCCGCACCCTGCTCACCCCGCCCACAGTGCTGACGTAAAGTATCCTCAGTGGTAAACGGATCATGGGTTCGAGTCCCTTGCCGTCTGGCTAACCATGGGAGGATTCGGGGTTTTGCTCTCCATGTAACGCAAGTGCGTGTTAGTTTCATCGAAAAGTTATCCTCGAGGGCAAATTTCTCCGAATACTTGATCCGGGAGTTCCCTTGTCTTCTGGTATGAGCTCAAAATTATAAGGCTACGGAGTTGAACATTGGTAGTTGTAAACTCAAATTTGGGTCAGTTGTTCAACGTCGGTTACAAAAAATAAATAAATAAGCCATTCTTTGTGTGTGTTTGAGGAAAGGAAAACCTCTTCGCACCCTGCAGAATCGTTTTTTGTTTATATTCAGAGCAAATATGAGGTCTTTATGAGGAAAATATTCACGTTTTTATGAGGAAAATATTCACAGTTAACTTAATTGCGTCACAAAAGGAAAATTTAGCTAGTTGTATATTGTGATAGTGTTATTAAATAAAAAAAGATTAATAGAAAATATTTCCTTAACTTGTGCAATATAGGGTGTTACGTTCCTAGCATTTGGAAATGGTGCTCCTGATATATTTTCCTCCTTAGCTGGTACTGAACAAGCTAGATTAGAGCTTGTTATGGGAACTCTTTTTGGTAAATTCAAAGAAATTATTTTATAATAAAAGATCCTTATATTTGAAATTATTTTTAATGAAAGTTGTTTTAGAAGGAATTTTTTAATGCTGAACCGATTTGTTTTGCGTAAATTTTGATTTTTATTGATTATATTGACAATTTTGATTTTTACTTCAACTTTTCGAGGATTAACTTCAAAAATTGCAGTAGTTTTTTTATTTTTATTATTTCTTCTACGCTGATGAAAACAATTGAATCAACTGAATCAATTGAAAACAACTGAAGTAACATCTATACGCAAATAAGGTACTTAATGATAGCTACGCTCTTTGCGGACACCTCTACCACGCAGTGGCCAGTGACGTCATAAAGCAGTGGCTCTGTGATTACGTTTGTGTAGAGATACCTTATTTGCTCGCCGAAGCTTTTAGCGTAGGGAGTTTTGAAATCTCGTTTTTTGTTTCCCAACCCCTGTATTTTTTTTATTTCTTTGTTTACGCCAAGTTAGTATGTCTAGCCGTCATCGTCTAGACGATGCCGCAAGATGACGGATTGTTGGAAGACTCGAGACGGACTAATCACAAACTACTTGTTGTAGGGACCTCAGAGTTTTGAGATATGTGGTGTCCACGCTGTGGAAGCAGCTCACAGAAACAGAAACATTTGTCCACCGACCTGGTCAAAACATCAAACGGGCAACAACGCACGTCATTTGAGATTTCTAGCCAACAGGGATAGAATCATGACAGCGGCACAACTGTTTCACAATCTGTAACAGAAACGCCCATTCAACTAAAGACTTCATGTAGGTGGTCTGTATGCCAGGCTCCCAGTAGTCAGCATTCTTTTGACTGTAAACCATAAAATGGACCGTCTGGCATGGAACCGAGAACACCTGTCTTGGATAGATGATGATTAGGGACAGGTTCTCTTCAATGATTCAGTCTGGATAGCGACTGGAGAGGTGATCTCATCTTTAAAGAACATCGGCTTTCTAACATTGTCGAAGTAGTCTGATGGTCTGGACAAACGTCGTGACAGATGGGCATACCGAACTTCATGTGTTCGATGGAGAAATTCTGACAGGTCAGCGGTACTGGGACGAGATACTTGACACTCTGTGTGCGCAACGAGTATTCTTAAATAAACATCTGGTAAAATAAATAATTTGAAGATGTAACAGAAAACATCTTTTCTTTTTTTCTTTTTTTTTAAAGAAAAAAATCAAAGTCAAATTTAGGAAAGCGCTGAAGCAGCCGAAATTTGTCTTCAAAAAAATTTATAAAAAGATTCGTGAAATGTAATTAAATAAAAATTAAAAAAATTATATTGAAATATGAAAAAGAACGTGAATACAATACCTTCATCAGGGGACATCCTGCATGCATTCATTTTGAAACTTTTCAGTGAATAGCAAAACAAAAAGTACTAATTAAGGTCTAGAGAGAACCGACATTTTGTAATACATATAAAATAAAACACTCTGTTCAATTTAAAGCTTAGTTTTGCCCACCCAATTGACATTCGTTATTTAGGCATCAGTAGGCAGATTTGTTGGCCACTCCTTCAGGCTCACCATATTAGGTGGGGCAACATTGCTCCCACTGTAAGGACAGATAGTACAGAGAGAATGAAGGAACATCCATACCTTGTCATGCGAGGTCATCTCTCTGACCACTACACACAGTTCGATCGGCATTTAAAGCTTAGTTATTATCTTTAATTTTTGTTGTGACTCTTAAAAATATTATTGTAAATATGTAGAATTTTTTACATAGCAAGTTAAAGTAAAGAAATGTGTTTCTGAATGTTTAGGAGGAGGTATATTTGTTACATCAGTAGTAGCTGGATCAATAATTGTTGCAAAACCATTTAAAATAATGGAAAGGCCATTTCTTAGAGACATAATATTCTATGTTTGTGCTGCCTTTTGGACGTTTTTGAGAATTTATTATGGAGAAGTTACTATTTGGCATTCTGTCGGTATGTTTAAATTGATTAATTTAAAATCTTTATTTTATATATGTTCTTGTTACGCATTATTATAATTCATATCATACATACTTCTTTCTCAGCTGGATTACGATCAGAGACCGGCAATTAGTGTATCATCTAAGAATAGGGAATACTTTGTGCTATATAGACGAAAGCACAAAAACAATGAATGAAACAATCTGAAACAACGCAAATGAAAGCATAGCAATGGACTTACTATAGTTTTGGTTCTGTAAACAAGAACTTTCCTCAGTGTCTAAGCACCAAATGATAATAGGGAAGTCAGGAGACAAACACGTGCAAAGTGGTTTAACCAATAGGGGCAGAAAAACAAGTTTGGACAAGATAATTAAAAAGGGAGATACGAAACAGGTGTGAGAGAACATGTTAGGAGCTCCAGTGTGCTACAGATTACATTAGAATAAACTTAATCGTTATCATTTACCTTCAAAAATCTTCACATTCTTTTGAAACTTTGTTCAAATAGTTATTTTTCCATTGTAGAGGTCCTTTACTTTGAAGCAATCGTTGTAGACCTCTGTTTTCCTTTTAATATTATCAATTCAATCTATAGAAAATTAATTTTGCAATCTCCAAACTGTTTAATTTGAACTATAATTTGATTTGATTGCTTTACCTTATTATCCGAAAATCAACTCCCAAATTGCTAAGATTTTGAATAAATTTGAGTTGAAAGTCGTTTCATCCCTGTAAATAAACTAAATTTCATCAACCAAAAATTCTCTATTACTAATATTAATAGCTGGTGTATTTCTCAAATTCTGTGTCAGTTTGGTCTTGCATATAATGGATAAACTAAGTATACCCTTAAAATTCGACTTAGAGAACACGAGAGATATGCCAAAAATCGGGACATTCACCAATCTTCCATCGCTCTACATAGTTGGAATTCTAATCACAGGTTTGAGTTTTCTTCAGCGAAAATCATTCAGAACCACTCTTCATCGGTCTAACTTGATTTTTGGGAGTCATTCCTATTTTGAAAAATTCTAATACCTTACGTAAATGATCTTTCTAGTAAACCACCATTTTTTAATGTTTGCAAGCCTATTCAAATTTAATCTAATGCCCCTGTGATGTCTGCCAAATCTCCTCACACCTTTATCTTATCTTCCTTTTTATTATCTTGCTCAAACTTATTACCCTGTCTCAATTGCTTAAACCACTTTGCAAGTGTTTATCTTATTCTATCATCATTATCATAATCTCTACCATCATTTGGTGTTTAGACGCTGAGGGAAGTTCTAGTTCATAGAACAGAAATTATAGTATGTTCATTTCTGTATTTTCATTTGTTTTTTTATTCACGGTGTTTATTTTTTCCTTCTTTTTTTTCTTAAGTGTTCCAGTCACTGACCGTGAAATTAAATTTATGTTTGTAAAACTAACATGACAACTGTCCTCTCGTAATTTTTTTCTCCTAAAATATATAGCTTTAAACCGTTAATTAACATTATGCTAGTGAAATTTACCTTCAGTTCAGGCCCTGACGTTGTTTGAGATTCACACGATTTTTTTTGTTCAATCAACGCGAACCATAGAAAATAAGCGAAGTAATGTAACGCGTGTCTATGTGTGAAACAATTGAGTGTTTGTTGTTCGTGGTCAGTAACGGAGGTAGTGCAAAAAAGATGTTTTTTGCCGTCGGTCCATTGCCTTTCAGTCTATTGCCTGATGTTGTAACCACCTTGGAAAAGGGCATACAACCCTGAATTAACTTAGGAAGCTTTATACAGTGTCTGCCGCAATAGGAAGTGGTTTGAAACCCAAGTAATAACGAAACTAATTTATTTCGATGAGACAAAATGTTAAGTCCAATTTTGGTTACGAAATAGTTTTAGTTTTGTTTGAATTAGAATGGAGAAAAAAAATTTATAATTTCATGAATTGTTATTTAATTTTACAAAAAGTCATTTTCAACGATTTGCATTTTTATATCTTCATTAAAAATAGCTGAAATTTTATAAGACTAAATACAGAAGTCGCTTAGATGCTGCAGTACATTAAAGTGAAAAAAGTTGGAATACTGAGGCCATTTTTTAGATTCAAAGAAAATGTGAAAAATAGACTTCGGCAACTCAGTTCGGTCAACTCAGTTATATTTTGCTTGAATGTTGTGCAGTAAAACATTTAAAAAAATCGGTGCATAACGCACTTAAAAAAACACACATCTGCAATGAATAAGAATATAAAAAGCTGAGATGATCCAGTAGATAGATTACTTGCCTTCCAAAGGAGGTACCCAGGTTGGAATCCCAACTGTAGTAGATTGATTTTCTTTACTACTACCAGTGAACTTCGACAGCAGTACTGCTTCAGAAACCCCCTTGCCTTCAGGGTTGGACTCAAAATTATTGATATCCGCAAATTCTGAATAGATCAGCAGTTCAGCGATGGAACGCTTTGCTATCAATGAACGTTTAGCACTGATATTTCTTATATTACTAGCCCAAATTTTATAAAAATTACAAAAAATTAGCCAAAATATCTTATTTCTGAGAATTTTAGATCTATATCTTTTTGGTATTTTAGCATTTACCTAACATTTTGAAAATCGGGTTAGCTTGGATCAAAAAAAAAGAAATGCTGGTATCAAAAATGTTCGAGCTACGATGGGCTTGGGACTGCAGTGGTCATATGATTACTGTAAATTTTCTTTAATCGCATTTTGAAAGTAAAAGGATTGTTTCTTTCTTGACCATAAGTTTCTTAAACCATTTGATCACTTTTAAAAAAATATATAATTTCACTCTATAATTTTATTGGTGATGCTGATCTGATAATATTTAGCGGTTCATTTGTCTCACCAAAAACAAATTTTAACAGAAAATAAACGGCTGGAAATAGAGTGGAGAATTCAGGCATCCAATAATATATTGGATACGACATATTCTTGATCCTGAATAAGTTGCTATAATTTTTCTTCAATCTGTTTAGTGCTGCTTTAAAAAAAATTTCATACGTTTCATCGATTTGGTACAGTTTTGAGGGAATAAATGCGACCAAATATAAAGAATATATATAGTTTACTGTCCATAGCAACATGTTTCTTCAAGTCGGAGAAGATCTCCGATTCTAGCTCAAATTGACGTTCGTATTCAATGATGAAAAGGATTTAATGCTAATTTGTATTGATCACAAGTTTCAAAACGGCATGAAAATGTACTCAGTGTATAGATATAGTTTACAAAAATAATAAATCTGTTTAAGAAATGTTTCATTTTAAATGATTTCATAAATAAGCATGTGAAGAAAACTCTTATATTGTTCTTGAAAAATATTTACAGCAATAAAAATTAACATAGACTAGTCGATACGAATCCGCATCCGGCTTGCACCGACAGCAGTGCTAACGTGAAATATGGTTATGAATGGTAGACGGATCATGGGTTAGAGTCCCTTTGCCGTCAGGCTAACCGTGGGAGGTTCTCGTGGTCTTCCTCTCCATGTAGCCCAAATGCGGGTTAGTTACATCAAAAAGTCCTCCACGAAAGCAAATATTTCCTAATACTTGATCCATGAGTTTCCTCGTCTTTTGGATTGGGTTCAAATTTACGAGGCTGCGAAGTTGAACATTGGAAGTCGTAAACTCAAAGATTGGGTAGGCTGTTCAACGACGGTTATTAAAAAAATCTAGAAAGCTACAGAAACATGAGTTTTAGACCCGAAATCGCTGGGATCGAACCCGGGTCACCTCATTGGAAGGCGAGTGCTCTATCCCCTGAGCCACCACCGCTCAACCTTATTAAACTTTGAATTATCCCGTATAATATTATTACCATAAGCACATCCAAATTCGGGCCAATCCAAGGTAACTAACAAATCAAACGGGCTTCTGTACTTCAGTAAGAATGAGTCATTAGTTGATTTCCTTCATTCTCTATTTACACTTTGATTTTCATATCTTGTGATCTGGCAAACTTGCTACTAAAACATTTTAAATCATTTTTGAAAAATGCCTGTATAATATTTATCCTTCTTATTTTATTTTAAATAGGGGAAATAAGATCGATGTCCTTTAGCTTTTACAATTAAATAATAACTAAAAAAAACACTTCTGTCATGGCAATGACAATATGCATTCCCCAAAATTAATTTCTGGGCACGCCACTGATTATAAATTTTTGAGTTAGTGATTTTGATGGTAAGTTTTCTCATCAATATGGTACAGCATATCAAATGAAGAGAAATGATCAATGATTGCGTAATCAGTCACTTAGACCATACGATAACATCAATGGAATATATGAAATGGTTGAAACTTCCATTGAATAACCATTGAAACTTCCCTAAAATAGAAATTATTCCTGAAATTGGTCCAGCAAGAAGAGATTTATGAAGAAAATTGGAAATTTAAGTTCTTTAAAATTTTTTAAAAAAAAAATTCAGTGATGAGAGTCATTTGCATTAAAATGCCAAACGCTTATAAAAAAATCACATTGATAACACATTTCGCTTTGTATTTATTGAAACTTAAAATACATAGATCTTATTTGATTGCCTTTTATATAACTTTAGATGGACATTCTATTAATCTGTCGTTTAAAGACTTTAATAATAAGAATATAAGCTGAACCGAAAAACTATGCACTATGCATAATCATTAACATGTTTCTACTTTCTTCATTTTTAATTTTTATTTCTGTGTGATTTAATAAAAATAAATAAGTCTTTACTTTTTTTACTAAAATTAGGATTCATCGTTCTATACATCCTCTACATTTTTGTTGTGATCATAAGTCGGCTTATTTATAACAAATATAAAGATAAAAATGCACCAAAAATACCTGGTAAGTTGGAAAGAAATTACTATTTTATCTCAGATATATTAATCTTTAAGTGGCTGTTATCGATTTTTAGAAGCGGTACTTAAATTGCATTACAAATTCATATTCATTTGCTTTAAAGTTCCACAGGTCTAGTTATGAGAACATGCGTGTGAAAAAAAACTATATATATATATATATATATATATACAAACAGTCAAACCTCGATATCTCGAACTTGAAGGGAGAGGAAAAAAAATTCCAGATATCGAAAATTCGAATTATCGAAAATCGCATGTTATCGATGGTAGAATAAAGAAAAATGCTCTTTACATGCCTTATTTACTATTCCATATTTATTCTAAAAACACTTTTTACACTTTTATTTAAAAAAAGATTCAATTGTTGTTTGCTTTAGAGATGTGTAAGAAAGTTTCTCTATGACACTTTCTAAGTGGACTATAGCTTTAAATGTCTCCTCTGACATATTCGGCTGCCTCTCAATAAATCTCCTTACAGTGTCCACTGCAGAAAGTGCTTGTTTGTTAGTAACATTGAGCGGTAAATCTTCGATTTCCTCATCCTCTTCTTCTGATAGTTCACAAGTCATCCCACTGACTGCATCACTGCTACTGCATCATCGACGTTTACAAAGTCATGAAATTCCATGTCATCAAGCTTCATGAGTCCGGTCAAACTATACCAATCATTTTCGGTGTAGTTTTCAGCAGAATTAACGATATTGATTGTTTGACTACTTTTGTGATCTTTAATGAATCCAGA